AGCATAAGCGACTGGGCTACGGTCGGGGTCGCCCGCGAGCCACCAGGGCGAAACCTCAAGTTATCAAATAGGGCCGCGTTGATCAAAAGGACCTCAGGGATCGACCGGGCAAATGCCAAAGCATCGAGAGCTTTCCGGGCTTCCACCACAATCTTGCCCACAGTGGACTTCTGCGCAGCGGCATCGGCTTCTTTCATCGCAGCTGTAAACAACGCTGGCGTGAAGCACTGTGCGAGCATCTGCAGACTCTGCGCCGCCGCTGCGCGGGTAGCAGCATCTGACGACTCGAGGAACGGCCAGATGACCATCCACACGCGCCCAAGCTCCTGTGCGCACGACTCCGGATGCGATGCACGATAGGCGAGCATCGCGTGCCCGACGACCTGCAACCACGCGGGCGCTAACGTCGAGTCGGACTTGAGCGGCGCATTTGAGACAACAGCCTTGACAATGTCAGAGGTCTGGTCGGCGATGCGGCTCTCGGAATCGCTGGAAGGGAGCGCAAGCAAATCGGAGAGAAGGGAGTAGGCGGATTGGGAGAGGTAGGGGTTCGCGAAGCGCGGGAGAGAGAGGAGGACGGAGGTGATGAAGGGGAAGGACTGCGAGATGATTTAGATGAGACACGAAGGTGATAGTGTTGCGACTTACGGACGGCGGTAATTTAAGGAGTACGGGGCGCAAGAAGGACAATAGATGAATGGCGATTTCGGCGACATCTGTCTCGCTCTTTTTGCCCTTGAATTTCTGAGGCGTGCCCGAGTTCACCTCAGCCAGAATACTCTGGACCCATTCTGCGACTCGTTCCGCGTACGGATGCGTCATTAATGGCACCGGTGGTTTATCCAGGATATCTTTCACAGCTTCCGCGGCCTTCTTTCGAACTTTCGGACGAGGATCGAGACAAAGCTGCAGCAGAGATGCGAAAGACTGCCGGATCGTCGTGTTTTCCAGGAGGCTGCGATCGAGAACTTCAATTACCGCGCCGTAGATTGTGATCTGCGACCTCAATACTGGTGCATGCGGGTTGAGATGGGGAAAGAGAGGCGCCGTAAGAGACAGAAATGTATTCAAATTTCCGCAGACTATGGATGGTTGAACGAAAGGTACGACCAGAGACAAGAGATATAATTCGGCCGGTAGAACGTCACCTTCCCCAAGGGAAACACCCTCCTTCTGCATCGTCCCTTCCAGCGTAGTCAATAAAGCAGCAAAATATGCTGTTGGCGTCCTCTCGATCTTCTGCTCATCGAGCGTGGCTTCTAGTGCTCTGAGGAGGGTAGCCGGTGTTTTCTGGTGTGACAAAGAGGAGTTTGTATGTGGTCTTATCTTGCTCAACGTCTGTTCCATCGTTTCTGGACCTTCTAGGAAGTTTCAAGCGAGTAGAGGGAGTAGAACAGATAGTGTAATATTGCTTGGAAGCTGCACGTTATAGCATGTATGCCTGCAGTAATTTTGGATTATTGCCATTCTTAGAAGTTCCCACGACAAGTAAAGATGCAGCACGTGGCCTTCGCGTTGTCCCCTATACGTCGCTGCGGCTCTTGGCAGTCATTAGAGCCGTAATACGAGTAAGTCCTCGAAGGGCGATGGGGAACTCTGCTTTGTGTTTGGACTAAGCTTGTGGAAAATGCTTGAAGGCACGCGAACACCGTGGTCCTACTTTCTCATTCGGTTCGTTATGGATGGTTTCAGTGCATGAATATCGTGATCATTGACTACGTCTTGCAAGTCTCCTTTTCAAGTTTGCCTTGAAAATTTTCTACGGGACCATTGTCGTAGAGAATGCTGACTACGTGCCGAAGACGGGGGAGCCATGGTCGGTGAGCTATTAGTATCGATGTCTGCCTACTGATGATCCCGGTCGTAGTGTTGTATGTGCAAACCACAGTAATTCACTTACAGACGCGCTGTAAGGATTTCAAAGAGAACTACATCTTCTCCTTCTCCTTCTCCTTCTCCTTCTCATTACAGTACAGGTTGCTCGTGACATCGGTCCCTCAGCGTGTAAGTCGGACGGCGATCCACCAACACCATGATTCTGTTGGGTTTGGTTCTTGATGGCAAACCTGTAGCGACGCAACATGTTGAGGCTCACAGCCAAGTCGACTCAATTTGGAAAGAAAACCTTCACTAGTTGGCTCATAGAGTCGGCTGGGACCGTCCCTATCAAGAGGCGGAAGGATTTCGGCGGCCAGGCAGTAGACAATGTAATGGTCATGGGTCACCTGATGGATGTAAGTATGTTCAGGCCCTCCAAAGGCGTTGATATCTTCACCGAGTATCATGTTTACTATCTCAGGCCCTTGAGCTGGGCGATGCAGTCTGCTTCTTTCCCGAAGGAGCGAGTCGTTTTCATCCTACTATAGCACCATTGAAGACTGGTGGTAAGCACCGACGTACTTTGAAAAAAGTCTACCTTACAAACAATTATTTGCAGTTGCTCGCCTTGTATCTGACGTACTATCCAGGAATCGCCACAATCCGGATTTCGAAATATCCATCTTAAATTGCTCGATTACTTACATGTAGGTTTTCTACGCGATCTGTCTGCGTATACTCAATGAAAGCATTACCAAAGGCATAGGCAACACTGGAGATCGGATGTCCTCGTCACCTTCCATCCTCCAATGAGGTTCACTCCCAAGGTGAGTCGCCTGACAGCCTTCCCGAACTAATATTCTAATCAACGATTTAGAATAACCCAGAACTGCTCGATCCCGTGGAATATGGTGACATCCGGATGCTCACAGCCCGTATGCACCAGCAAATCAGCTCTGGAACGCTTGATTCGCCGTCCTGGGACCTTGTTCGTACGTCGAAGTTAGCAGCACGGATGTATGCGCCGCTCGGCACACGTATGAGTCTGGGTGACTACGTCCGAGTAGCGAGGACATTTTTGGACGCGTTCAAGCTGACGGCTGTAACTGCGAATAGAGATGCGAACGGTAGTACGACAGCCAGCAGCAGTGAGAGTGAGAAGACCGAAATGAGAGTGGAGATACAAGAACTTGGCAAGTTACGACAGGATTTGAAGGTGAGAAGCCTCATCTCTCGCAACGTGATATCTGATCATTGATGCCACATATTCAGGCGTACCAAGACGCATTGTCCAAGTGGGGAGTCAAGGACGACCGGATCCGAATACCCTTATCGCGATCCACAATTTTACGCCGGATATTTATTCGTCTCAGCTGGACCCTTTTCCTCGGCCTCATCTCCATTCCCGGTCTAGTCCTATGGTGTCCCATTTTTATTACGACGTACATAGCCGTGCGCAACTTCAAGAAGACAGGGCCCATTTGGGACACCTGGGACGAAATCGCCCAGTACAAGCTCGTCTATGGGCTCATCTCGGGCCTCTGCGTTTATTTCGGGACCATCCTTGTAACACTGCCCATAGCGCCGATTACTGCTGTTGTCGTCCCAATGGTTATGTGGATGGCCCTACGGTGGATGGAGGATGCAGTGTCGGCATTCAGGGCAGTTGCAGCGTTGGCGCGGCTGCTTCTCGTCCGAGACAGGACACTGGCTGAGATAGGTGCGGTACGGAAAGACTTATATGAGCGCGTGACGAAGCTGGCAGAGCGGTTAGGGTTGCCGCAAGATCCGGAGAGGTCCTTCTCGGAAAGCGGAGGTAGGGAAAAGGGCAGAGTGAGAGGACGATGGGAGAGCAGGGCAAAGTATTTCTCGATCAGGAGAAGGAGAAAGCGTGATTGGAACGAGACGCTCAGGCTGTACGATCAGGTAGACTATCCCGAAGAGTAACTGCAAACCATACTAATGATAATCAATCTCGTAATCATAATACAAATGAGGTGAAAACAAAAGTCAAGAGTGTTCTGTAAGGGGACTGGATGCGTTGCTAATAGGGACACAGTGGAGATGCAAGCTAAACTGCGGGCGTTATGTATACTTCGTAAAGGTCGTCAATCAAAGAGAGGATAGGGACAATTTAGCCTCTACTCTCCGCTGCGAATGGGCTGATAGGCTCTGTTGCCGGCAGCCCACCTATGACCAGCATCGGCGGATAGACCCGTGGTAACGACACCAAAGACAACGAAGATGGCTATAACCCAATCTAGTACGTTTAGAAGGTATGATGTGCCTATAGAGAAAGGTCAACACCAAGTTAGTTTGCAACAGAAGCCCAAACGTACTTGGGCGAGCGTGCTCAAACGCGGCATAGCGAGACTTGATATAGGCATCGGTGATGAGCGCAAAGGCGATAATTTGCAAAACAGCTGGATGAACATGGTCAGCGACACCTTGAAAAGCAGAACACCAAATTATCCGATACCATGAACAGCAACTAGACCGGCAACAGCCCTCCAAATCCGTCTCCTCCGGGAATGCGTACTGAGTCCGAATATAATGGCAAGCAGAGCTGTCACCGCGAACCCGATGCTGAGCTCTATCAGATATCCTGCGCTGGTCCACTCTACGCAGAAAGGCTTATTATCTGTCTCGCACTTGTCCGTTACGCGCGCAGGCCATGGGCGGCATTCGTATCGCGTGTAATCAATTTTGCTACCGTCCGGGCCAGGAATGACGACTTTTTTGCGCTCACAGACCTCCAGAAGACCGTACCGAATGGTCGCTCTTGTGTAAGGAAGGTCAGGACCTGTCTCTTTGAGCCTTTAATGTACGGTCAGATACGGAGCGCTGTGAAGTCGCGGGCTAGGCGAACCAGTCTGGAGAGTACGCTGAAAACAGGGTCTTTTCGAAATGTCAGTCTTCCTCTCGCATATCAAGCACAAAACATACAAAGATCAAGCATATAGAGACAAAGAAGAATGTAACAACGTAGGACGTCTTCCTCATAGTGTATAGTCACTTGGTGGAAAGTGAGTCGACTGTCGGACGCGCCAGTCGAGAACACGCTGCAAGATCGGTCCCAATGACGCTGCGGAACTTCATTCGTGGGAATTGTCCTCATTAATAGTATGGCTGACTACATATGTTCTCGGAGGTCAAGTGTTTGTTAACTCCAATGTCTCTCGGTCCCTATCGATTAGTGGTTAAATCATCACGTTGTGGTGACTGCACTGGGCCGTGAAGCCGCGTGTTCGACTCACGCTAGGGACACTCGTAAAACAAGGAGGTTCGAATCCTCTTGTCGAGCACACTTCAAATCAGGCGGTTCGATTCTGCCAACCTTTTTCTGTGAAGGCCAATTCCAACTCTCTGTGAGCTCAGTACGGTGTTTCTTTCCGATACTGCCAGGCTTTCCTGACCGTTGTAAGTGTTCATGTCGTAACTTATGAGTGCTGGAACGTATGCGGCTAAGCTTGACAGTATGGCCTTTTGGCAGTGCGATAACGAACCGACGTCCCCCTCGCCTGCTGTGTAAATTTACATCGCATTTGGACGTGAACCATGTCTCCGACTTCAGTCATCCATCCTACTGTGTATACTCCTTCGGCTCTCTTGCAGGCGTTTTTGAACGTCTTGACCGAAGCTATCATTCCCCTCACTGCAAAGGGCGTTTCTTTGGGCTCGAAGGTGTTTGGGGCGGCCGTGCTACGAGCGAGTGATCTGTCCCTCGTTATCGCAGCAACCAATGATGAAGCAACTTGTCCTCTCTGGCACGGAGAAGTGAACTGCATACGCAGGTTCTATGAAATTCCCAAAGAGAAGAGAGGAGTGGGCGCAGAGGAGTGTATCTTCCTTAGTACTCACGAGCCTTGGTGCGCATTGTCTGTCTCCGTTATACGCTGTGTTCTCCTTACTCTTGGGACTCCATCCGCTTCGTGCAGTGCGATGTGTCTAAGGTCGGTACAACTGCTATCTTCCAGAGGTACAGTGACAGAACAACACTCAGCTCCTTAGCATGGTCTGGTTTTCGTCAAATATACTTCCTGTTCTCATATGACGACACTCGGGACGTCTTTGCAATTCCACATGACATCGACATTCTCACCTCTGTTTTCCATCCTCCTTCATCTTCGCCTATCCCCTCCGACCGGTTGTACAACCGGCAGAACAAGTTCTTCAATATCTACTCGATCGAGGGTTTGGTAGATCAGGTGGGTGATGACGCTGTGAAGCAGGACATGCTGGTCCGAATTGCAAATGTGAAGAAAGTGTACAATGGGCTGGCTGAAAAGTACAGTGAAAGGAAGGGCGAAAAGGAGATACCTCTCGCCTAGGTAGGGCTGCGACGCATGTAGTTACTGAATTTTGTAAGTGATGGTATCGTATTTGTTTCATTACTTGTACAACAACACTCGCTGATGCATTCCTAATAGTCTCTACAGTACTGTACGGGAGATGACCTTTATAGGCTGATTCGTTATCCTGTAGTGTTTTGCTCGGCATCTATAAGGCTACCACGTGCCGTGTGTATCACAAGCTTCTCAAGATATGTAATATCATACAATCGCTACTTCCCTCTTCCTGCATTCATTATGCAACCCAATATTGCGTATGATGCGTACGACACCCCCTGGCCCGACACGCCGGACGATGACAATGACGAAGGCGGCGGCGGTGATAACGACGATGACAACAGCGGCAGCGACGACGACATTGCGCATGACAGGCTGTTCAGGATAGGGAGGCTCAGGCCCGCTTACCCGTTACGGTACAGAACATCGTACGAGACCAGGTACCCCGAAAGCTCGCTGAACTTTCCATCGGAGTCGGATTCATTGTTCACTGCGGGAATGTCAACATACCCTGAAGACTACCCGGAAGAAACTGTGTATCAGACCCGTTACCGTACGGCAGATACGCCATTCGAGCCGGATCCCTTATACACCGCAGCCATGTCCCGATATTCTTCTCGCCATCGAGATGCTCCTACTCCGCTGCAGTCGGCTACCAGCGCATTCCAAGGAATGAGAAGCTACGAGACGGAATTTGGACGTAGATACTACAGGCGACGGTCGCGGGGTCGGAGCGAAAGTCCCCTTACCGCCTTGGGCGGTGAAGACCTGGAGTTGGATGGCATATTGGATAGAGAGACGAACTCAGCTTTTCCGTTCATGTTGAAGATCTACCGCGGCAGAAAATCCACTTCTCTTGTGATACAGGAGGATTGGGAGGACGAACGCTTGTTCACTGAGTTCTCCCGATGTTATGATGAGCTACGGTCCTGGAGGAAGTACTTTTCATTGCGGACGTTTAGGTCTGTATTCATTTCACTCTGGTCTTGCAGTGTACGTGTTCTGACTTGTACTCATAGCACTTTGATTCTGATATGGGTCTGTAATCCACGTCAGGGTCTAAACATCTACTGAATTCGTCGGACTGATAGACTGATCCTGCCGACATTGCGGCTCGATATGGAAAAGCACCACCAGAGAAGGAGTTTGCAAAGTATAAAAGACTGCCGCATATCCGCGTCCGGCACTATCTGCAATACCCAGAAGAAGCGAGAGGCAGTGTACAGTTTGTTCAGTGGATTACACTGGACGAGAAACATGGAGTACTCTTCGAGGAGCGGTGGAGTCCATATCGCATTGCTCCTGTGGCTTTGATCCCGATTATCACGTCTTTGATGGTGGCAATATTGCGGGTGCACCTCAACGTCGTCTCAGACGAGGCTTTGACAACAGCTAGTAAGCCTTATAGCTTGTTGTCTTTTCTTTCAGTGCTGACGCCGCGCCATTAGATGTTTGTATTACAGCATACTTTACTTGTCTGGCCGCCGTAACGTTGTTGAATTGGATGCAGTACATATGAATCGTGTTTTGTCTGTATTCATTTCGCTGCAATGATGGAAGGAGATCAAGTCCGTCAACGACAGGGCCCTGCAATGGCGGTGTGTTGAACATTTAAGTACCTGGAACCACACTGCGCCACCGGGCACTCTCCCGTTTAGTGTCTGTTAACGCCCTGTGTCAGCTAGCTACAAACCAATACTATCGTTGGGGATGTTCTGTCAAAGCATGATTCTTGACTGAGCGCTGAGTTGGTGTATCGTGGGGTCAGTCGGAGTAACCCTTTCTGGTATGCAGCGGAGCAGCGTAGTTGGGAGAAATCTCAGCTTCTCTATCGTTTTGTCTTTAGCTGTAACGCAGGAAGCAGGTAATAACGTATGCAGTGCCACTCGAGAGCTGCGGTATCAGTGCAAGGAGTCGCCGGGCATAGCAGTTTTAACCCCATATGGCTAGACTTGCTAGCGACGTCTCCTCAGTGAACCCGAGTAGGCGAGCAACGGGGTTCACAGGGAGACTTGTGTACAGTCGACTCTCTCATAACCCATCTCTCTAACAACCCATACTCTGTTCTAACCCATACATTTTTGCGTCCACCAAGTTGGTTCCTAATTAATTTACATGACAACCCATATCTCTGTAATACTCCATAACCCATGGCTTCTCAGCCAATCATAACCCATACATTTATTTCATTTTGGGTAGAATTTATGTGTTACGAGGAGAAGCGTGTACACGAATACATGTTTATCAGTCATGGTAATGGACGTAATTCCTGGGCCTGCAGACATAAGACCTGCCGTCTGTCATTTTGTATCTCGAGCGCCGTGTCGACCTTAAGTTGTGCGACACTCGAGCTCTCAAGCGACGATTGTCATGTATTATGTACCTTTCGCGAATCAACTTAGAGACAAGGTACTTCCACAGGAGACAAGTCCATCAGTAAAACCAGAACATATATTACAGAGTATGTAGCCAGCCAACAGTTGCACAGAGGACACGGTACATGCAGTTTGAGAGGGCTCAGACACGCTCAGCACCCAATCCGGCAAGAGGTGCGCAGATTAGGGTAGTGGCTGTGTGGGAAACGTACCTAAAGGAGATTTTGGCAGGCTACTGCCAGCGCTATCCATAATATACAGCATCAGGAAAACGGCAATCAGTCTTACGGCTGGGACTTGGCTTAACTGATCTTAATGGTTCTTATTGTCATCTTTTACGTGTCTTTTAGATACTTAGCGCCCACTTTAAGACGAGAATAAGACCTGTTAAGCCAAGTCCGGGTCTTAAAGCTCTTAAAATCACCATAAGACCGCCTAAGACGATCGGCCGTTTTCCTGATGGCCCACTAGCCTACATATGGCAGTCAAAGCTTGATGCAATCTGTACAGCCATCTAGAGTCTATGACATGCACGGATCACAGCGACCTGACATGAGGCGAAATTCCCCCTGGATCTCCGTCCTGATCGCATTTACAACCTAGGTAAGAAGCGCGTACTCTTATGCTGTCTTCATCCTCACTGATGTCTCAGTCGGAGAACACCACTCTAAAGTCCCAGAATGTCGATGACCGTGGTGTGTCCCTGCCAACGTCATCAGTCCCTGTGGCGTCCGTGCCTTCCTCCGACAGTGCAACGTTAGCGGACGATCATGGCGCATCTTCCTCGTCGTCGGTTCCGATAAACTCAGCTGGAGGAACGAGCGTACCGTGGCAGAGTGCGGCGCTGCGTCCGAGCCAACCACCAGGTCGCCCGCAACCTGTACTTACTATCCGCTCGGATGCTGTTTGCGAATCGCCCCAAAGTCCTATTGTAAGTTCTACTAGTTTCATTCTGCGAACCGGACTTAGCACCTTCACGTTGTGACTTCGCATCGGGCAACTACACAGCCGCAGGATCTTCACACTCAGGCACCTCAAGTGCAGAGTCGTACGCTACCATCGCCTCCAACCTTGATTCCAGCCCCCGCTCCTCCACACGTGAATGTAAGTTACTTATACGACAGCGTCATGGTCTACTACAACCTTATCAAAGACAAATGCACAGATATTCGAGCAGGTATGTCTTGTTCCTCTCTTCGCTACGACACTGTAACATACTTTAAATAGGAGACTCAACTCGCGCACCTTGCATCGATTAATCAACGAGAAATGACTAGATACCTACGTCATCTCAATGAGTGGCTAGAGAGGGAATCCTCCGACCATCAGGCCGAATTACGCAGCGTCATCGCAGAAGTAAACGAGCTGCGTGACAATTTCAGCCGTCTACAAGCTTTACAACATTTAGAATATCCACCATATCCGTCACGTTTGTCTACAATATCTGAGCGTGACGAAGACACTCGGAGTCCTGTAGTCTCCTTCTCTCTTGTTGTCTCTGAAGATTACTCATTGCTTCATACACTCAGCATGGCGAGCTACC